CTGAAGGAGAGGGAGCTCTGGGTATCCCCACCATATTCGAGGGAAAGTCTCTATATCAATCAGGGTCCAGTACCGTATCTGAAAGCAGAGCGGAACTCCTACCCACATAATAGAAAAGCCCTTCAGTAACTGACCAGCATCCTAGACCCCAGTCCTCTCTCAGTCTTCGGGGGAGAAAACCAGGGGAGAGTGAGCAAGAGTAATGGGGCCATCTGCGGGTCTGGAGGCCACGGGTGGGATGTGCCTGAAGGAAGATCTTTCCCTTCCCTGCTCCTCTCTGCTCCCTCCCCTCCGCAAGCTGAAATCAAGTGAAAGACTTCAAGAGAATTCCTCATAAAGACAGGGGTGCCTTACAATAGGGGAGGCTGGGGCTGGTTTGCATCGGGACTTCCGTTCAGGCAGCAGACAAGGAAAGAGGAGGGAGAGAGACGGCGGGGCTCAACGTGGGCAGCAGGGGCACCTGCTCGCCCATCGTCTGGAACGGTAGAGATGTGTGCGCTTCTCGTGAGTAAGGGGACATTTTTGAGTCTTCTTGTCCGTATCTTGGCTGCCCACGGGTGCCCCTTGACCCCCAGAGGTGTTAGTAGAGAAACAGCGACGCCAAAGGAGAAGATGAAACTGAGAAGGAAAGAGATGCTTGCCGGTTATCCTCAGTCCTCCCTCCCAGCCCCTAACCTTGTGGGAACGAGAGAGAGGAGATGAAAGGGAGACATCCAACCAGTGATGGCAGAAGGCGAAGCTCTGAATCTGATAGAGGGATGAAGTTGTAAACTGGATTTGATTGGTTTCATAATGGAAAGCGAATAGAGTTTAGAACCTACCCAGATGCTCTTAAGTGGTAGCAAACACTGGCTTCCAAGTGTTGCAGCGCATCCCCTGAACACCTATTTGAATAGTGAAAATCCAGCACACTGACAACACCAAATGCTGGTGAGGGTGTGGAGCAACAGGAACCCTCATTCATTGCTGGTGGTGATGCTGCTTCAATACAGCCATTTTGGAAGACTGATGGGCAGTTTCTGACAAAACTAACATATAATCTGGCAGTTATGCCCAGGTGATTCTGCACGTGGGTGAAACCAGGTTCACCAGCCTGGAAACAGCCACAGAGAGGAAGAGGGTCAACCGGTGGGAGCACTGGAAAATCAGCCTCTTCCCAGAGCACCTGCTGAGGTCAGGGGCGGGCGGTTAGCCATGGCTCTCCCTCTCTTCCTGTCTACATCTCTCTATACCTCTTCTTTACTCTGACTTTCTTTTAATTTTATTTTTCATACAATACTATGATAGAGATGGCAGATCTGGTACTTAAAGTCCTGCTCAAGGCCAGCAGCTTCGTGGTTGCAGGAAGAGCCCTACTTCTCTGACTCTGAATCCAGGGCTCACTCCCCTCCACAGCGTGGTGTCCTGGGGCACCAGTCCGTGTCCTCTGTGTCCTGGGAACCACAGAAGGAGGGCAGACTCCGAGGCCCCACGGCAGGATCTCTCTCCTCCAATAAGGTGTGAACAGGAGATGGGCAGAGCAGGAAATAGCTCCACTTTTCATCTGAAAAGCTGAGCTTTCAGTGACTTGCCCCTGGGCATCTGTGCTCTGCCCACTAGCCCACAGTCACCTGGGGCATACTCCAGCGAATCTCTCCCGACAAGACACCTTAAAGTTTCTTTGGTAAGCTTGGTGGACTCAGAAACCGTGATGGGGATCGTTGTTAAGTCTTATCACAGCTATGTGTTTCACGCTGCATGAGTATATTTTGAGCGCTTCATCACTCACATTAATGGGAAGGGGTTCCATCTTTAGAAATGCTTTTCCCCAAGGTTAATATTTCATGCTGAATCTATTCACTCTTTTGACATTTTTATGACCTATGTACAGCAGTGTCATATGTTCACAGTAATGTTCAAATTGAAAGCCTATGATGACTACGGAGACTTCACAATATAACAAGTGCTCTTTGTTAAGTCAATTTTACACATCTTGTTACATTTGAGACTTGCGCCCAGTGTTTTCCTGTTAAAGCTCTGTCTCCTGTATTTTCCCAGCACTGTAACAATATTGAAAGGCTAGAAAGAGGATGCTGACTTGTCTGGAAGTCTCAAGTGTCCATGTGTTTCTTGTCCCCCCTTAGAGGCTAATTACCTTTAGACAAGTGAATGTGATCTACTGAATGAAACACTTTACGAGTCTGGAGTCGTTAGCCTAAATTTGGACCCGATCTCGAGTTTCTGTTTAGTTGGCTAGATAAAGGTGGTCCGTTCCAGGGCTGGAAATGTAACCAACGCATGTTCCAGGCCATATGCTGGTTCTTTCCATACGTTAATGTATTTACTTCTTGCCATAATCCAGCAAGCTAGGCTTTATGAAGTCCAATTCTCAGATGGAGAAACCGGGGCTCAGAGAGGATAAATGCCTCGTTCAAGTGTGTGGCAGAGTCGCTTCCAGCAGCGCCTCAACTCTTAGGCCAAAATTATCTCCAGTTTGCTGGAATTATCGTGATGCCCCGGATTCAGTTCAGAATCTGCAGAAGTCATACGTGCTCTCTGCTTGGGCTCCGGGGATGCCATGGGGCCTGATGGGGCAGAGTGAGACTCAGAGGCCACCCCAATGACAAAAAAAAGACAGGGGAGTAAGGAAGGGCCTTTCCATATAGTCTACCATTATTATGATTATTCTGGGGAAGGGGAAAACAATCCAACAGCAACGGCATGTAGTCATTCTTGGACACACTGTCTGGCACAGTGATTCTTTCTGCAGCCCAGCAGGCAGGCTCTCTAGAGCAGCTCCTGCTGACAGGGGACCAGGGGCTGCCTGCATCTCAGCAGGAATCTATGGGCTGCACTTCTCTTAGGGAAGGCTCTGCAAGGAAGAAAAAACTCCAATTTATCCAAGACTTTCCTGTTTCTAAGGACTCACATGGAATTTAGCCTTCACTTTGCTATTTTTAAAATGGCCTAAGGCTACATCTAAGCCCTGACCACAGTTTTTGCCGCCTTTCCTCGGGGACCATCGGCCCTCTGGTTGGGGCACGTTGTATGCATCGCGACTGGGCTCTCTGCACGCCTGTCCTCCTGCACGTTAGTGACTCGTCTGGGTCTAATTTAGGCCACCACACACCGGGCAGGAACGCTTCAATTCCATGTTCTCCTCAATGTTCAGCAGATTTTGTTCACTCCACAAATGTTAAATGCTAACACCTTCTCTCTCTAAAGTACTCTTTTAAGACAGCATATACATGACCATTCTGATTTAATCTTTTATTTTGAGAACAGGGGGAAAAAAAGCCACACACAGATTCTATCAGCAATGCTTGAGTTTCGAAATCTAAAACTGGGTCATGGTAACAGGATGGAGGCTATGGGATGCTGAAGAGTCCAGAAGCAGCAGGATGATCTGGGGATGGTGATAATAAAAAGTGTCTGCTGCAAGTCTTCACGAAGGAGACAGGGTGGGAGAATGGGAGACCACTGGCTGGGGACTCGCCACTGAGCCAGGGGCCCTGTTTAGCTGACAGCCTCATCTCTGTGGGACTCGGGGGCTCAAACTGGAAGACACCTGAGACAGGACTGCTCATTTACTTAAATTAATCATTCGTTGAGCTCCTATTTATAGGCTGCCTACCCTGTATTCAATTTGGGGAAAATATTGGCAAAAATGGTCCTCACTCTTCCAGAACTTAGAGATATTAATCAAATAATCTCAAAATAAGTGTGAAATTAAAGTGTAATAAATGCTGTAGAGGAGAAGTACATGATGCATAAAAATAGGAGAGACAGTCAGAGTATCTAACAGGCACCAGCTAAAGGTAACCTACACTGAGCTTGGTGTCTGAAGGCTCCAGGCTGTCTGGAGGCAACTCAGTGGCTGAAGAAAGCAGACCCGGGGTGATGGCTATTTCCCAACTTGTGCAGAAATAGTTCAAATTTTGCAAATAGTTTTCTGGCTGAATATTGGCATTGCCTAAGAGTTTCTAATAGAAGGATTTGCTCTGGACTGGAAGACTGGTAAAAAGGCTTCACGTGGGGGTGACAGTCCAGCCACGACCTAAAGAATAAGTACGAATTAACTAGGTGAAGAGAGGAGGAAATTTATTATAGGCGGAGTGAGTGCAGCGTGTCCCAAAGCCCTGTGGCAGAAGGGAACAAAATGTGTTTAAGGAGCTTAGAAAAGTCAAGCCTGGCTTACACATTAAGCAATGGGAACTGAACAGGGGCTGGGGCTAAGGATTTGGATAAGAACCAAGACTTGCCAGATCTTGCAGATAAGTGAAAACATTTTTTTTCCCCTTCTGAGCAATGGGAAGTCATTAAGGATTTTAATCTGAGAATGGCAGGGCCAGATCTGCATTTTACAGAGAACACTCAGAATGCCATGTAGAGCAGGGATGGCACTGGGAGCAGCTGAAAGGCTGCGGTGGTCAACCCAGGAGAGGAGGTGGCTCAGACCAGGACACTTAGATGAGGGTGGAGGAAGTACAGTTTCTTGTTTGCTGAATTGGTTAATGACAGTCATTCACTGAGCTAGGAAGCACTCGAGCAGACCTGAGGTAGGCTGGGCTTGGGAGTCAGGAGAGAGACTGTCGGAGGGGAGGGGGCTGGCCACTGCAGCATCCCAGGGCAGCCCTGGGTGCACGGGAATGGCTTGGATGGAGGTGTGCATGTGTGAGTCATCTTTGCAGTAGCAGCCACTGATGCCCGACTGTGCCGGAGGAGCCTAGGGAAGGGAGTGGGCCAAGGAGGGGGCCTTGATAAATTCCAACAGTTAATGGTCGACCCTCTATCTCTAAAGACTAAGAAGGAATAACTAGAGTGGACGGGGAAACAAAGTGGTCCAGTATCAAGGAGGCCAAGGAGAGAGATCACTCCAAGAAAGAGGGTGTGGACGACAATTACCAAATGGGGTGAGGACTGAAAAGGCCCATCGGCTTGATCTCCAGAGAGATTTCACTGAAAGTTTAGTGAGAGCTGCTGAATTTTTCTTTTAACATTTCACTCTGAACTAATGATAGACTCACAAAGAACTGCCAGTACAGCCCAGAGAGGTCCCACGGCCGGCCATCCAGCTCCCCGAGGGTAACATCTCACACAGCTATAATATGAAGACCAGGAAACTGACACTGGCACAACACGATGGACTTGACTCCAGACCTTGATCCTACTACGGTAAGAGCTGCTCTGATGGAACAATGAGGCCAGGAGTCAAACTGGAGTGGGGGTGGGGCAGGTGGTAGTACAGGGAGTAAGAGGAGGAAACAGGTGCCGTAGATAATAAATATTTATTCTATTCCGCCAGGTGCAAGGCCAGACACTGGGCACAGTGCGGAGCCCTGAGGACACCTTGACATCCACAGGATCTGGACAAGGAGTCAGGGGAAGAGGAAGCTGAAGGTAAAAATCTACCTCTGGCCATGGGCACCAGCGTCAGAGGCCACAGCGGGCCAGAGAGCAGGGACATTCCCGATGAGTCATTGAGAAAAGGCTCGGAACCCTGGCAGCGGCAGGAGAAGGTACACTCACACGGAGACAGAAGCATCAGGGCTCTTCTGCAGGACAGACTTCCTGGGGAGTTGGTCATCCCCATGCCTCTCAGATTTTACAAACTTTTAAGAGCAGATGAACTTTCTGCAGTGAAGCCCAAAATGTTTTACATCTCTTATGTTTTCTACTTGAACTTTAGAAAGAACGTTAGCTAGTGGGTTGGAGTAACGTATGTCTAACGAGCCCATTTTACAGGTGAATCCACTGAACACAAAGATACACAGGAACTCACGTCACCCAACCACATGGCAAGTTTCTCCCTAGATCTTGGGATTCTGACTTGATGATGTTTCCATTCCATTGCCATCAAGGTTCCTACTTCCTGCTTTGCCCTGGTGCTCAAGAAACAGATCCTATTGAGCTGTGTAAGTAGTCATTGTTCCCATGAAAACGTGAATATTTTCTTTTTTCCCAGTATCATCCAAAGTGGCTACCCCCAAGTATCAAAGAGCCAACAATATCATTGAACGTGTTTTATATTCGTCTCTTGTTCTGGCTGATGGACGGCCAACCAGAAAAATAATTAAGTATATGCAACCTTGAAGATAGATTTCCCACATCCTAACTCCTCCCCCACTGGGGTCATTCCATGAAGCTCTGTTCTCAAGATGGAAGGAGGCAAAGGAGAGGAAGTCAAAGGAGGAGATGCAGGTGGGAGGGGGCAGCAAGACCTGGGTCCCCATGGAGCTGGGACTGTGGGCAACCTCACTCAGACAGGTGTGCTGGGAGGTGGCCCTTGCCTGCTCCATTCCGTCTCAGCCAGTGGGACTTAAAGAGCTCTGGCTGCTGTGGGAGAGAAGCTGTAACAGGAGGCTCTGGTCCTGCATACTAATTGGCCCACTTTAATGACTTTTCATCCCCTCCCTCCAACTGCAACAATCCCCTCTTCCGAAATCGCCCGCTCCTAGCGGAGGAGGCTGGCTACCATGGCAACCAAGCCTTCCGATGCTGGGAAAACTCACCATAGAGATGCAGGGAGAAAAATTCCACTGTTGAATTTCCAAAGAAGAAGGGCTCAAAGGGGGAAGGAGGGGAGAACAAAGGTTTGGGGGATGTGACTGGAGATGGGGAGCTTTCCCGGCTGAGGGCTGGGGGCACACTCTACAAACCACAAACGTACATGCAGACACATAAATCCACAGAGATACGATCAGACGCCATCTACACATGCTAACGTTCATATCACCTCACCCACCCGGTACCCAGTACAGGAGAGTGAAGGCAGGAACACATCTGCAGTGGCCTGCCTTGTTAATCAAATGCTCCCTACACACTCAGTGAAACACAGCCCAGAGTTTGAACATTCTCTGATCAAAATGTAGATTTTTGTCACTGAGAGTTTTCATTGTTTTTGCTCTCTAGAAAATCATACTTGAAACACATTTGAAATCGTATCTTCTCTGAAAAGAGAGGAGATACGTTCAAAATAATGTGCATGTGGTCTGCCTCCTGTGTTCGCTTGGAGGCAGCCTTGCTCCCACCCAGTGTGACCCAAGACTTTCTGATGTTGCTCTGGGGAAAGACACTGGGCCAACAGCACTTGAAGACCTCTGTGTCCTCTCTCATGGGACAAGAAAGCAACCGACAGGGGTGTTTGGGGATCCCCTCTAATTCTGGGGGCCCTCTTAGCCTTGTCTGAAGCTCTATCCTTCCTGAAATACTTAAATTCATTCCCCTCTGTTCTTTAAAAGCCTCCCCCTTCACATCCCTTTTCTTCCTGTTTCTAAAGCAAGGCAGTGCCTTTTGCGTCACGAGCCCCGTGGCATCATTTCTGAAACACCCCAGTGTTAAGGAGCTGGCGCACATCATGTCAGAAGGGGTGTTTAGTTCTCAAAACCAAAGCAAACACACACACAAATGTTCTCTCTGGGACCAACGTGGGAGAGAGTTTCTAAAGGCCGACCACGAGCTGACTGTGTTTCTGACAGTCCCTTTCTCTCAAAGGAAGGGGCCAAGTCCGCCATGCCTTTCTTTGTGCCTGACAGCTCTCAGAAGCCAGCCAGGCCTGGGAGCTTGCTTCAGATCCGAGCCAGGAAACCCTGAGAGCAGGAGATGGCCTACGCTTGGAGAACGAGGCACTGGAAACCTCACAACACTGGGAGGCACTCGGTTTTCTGATGGAGCAGAGAAAAGCCTTATTTGGTTGTTGAATAAGATACACAACAAGGTCACATTTACCTTTGTCCCTCCGATGTCATTTTTCACATAAGACTTTGTGACATGCTTGACTCCCAAGCCCTGGCTTTCAACGTGACATTTGATAAATCTTTCATTCATTCCTTTTCAAAAAATGTTTATTGAATGAGTTCTGCTAGATGCCTGAAACACAGACGAGCAGCGCCTGGTCTCCTTTTAGAGGGTATTGGAGACAATAGAAATCTCTTACACTTGCAGACAACATCCAGCTTCCAAAGCACTTCACACACATCATCTAACTTAATCCTGGGGACCAGCGTGGCAGAGTGTAGATGAAGCCTTTGCTGCCCGAGCAAAGGATGGGAGGCAGAGGACCCTTGACAGGAGAAGCCACCAGGGCTGGCGGGTGTTGTCCTCAGTGTTACCAACTCACTTTGCACTTAGGAAATGTAGGTGCTAAAAGTGTGTGTTCTCTGGCTACCGAGGTACAAGGCTGTCTGGGTATGAAGAGCCTCTCGGGAGATTAAATTTGTTATCCTTCAAAGAAATCTTTGAAAGTGAGGACACTTTATTCAGAAAGAAAATTGGCCTTCCTCTCAAAGAAGACTACAGAGAAGATATTTTCAAAGCGACGGCTTAATGAGGTAGAAAGAATTCTGAACAAGTTGCTGGGAGGTTGATAGCCTGGTCTTTGCTCTGTGGCTTTTGGAAAATGAGGATATGGGGCCAAATTATTTCCAAACTGCAGGTCAAAAATTCTGCATGAGGTACCAGGCAGGTTTGCCGTTATAAATGTCGTTAAGCAGTTCCTGAAAAGGGCTTGATCAAATGCAGTTTTAGAAATTACACGATTATTGTTACTTGTACGTGTGTTTATTTAATTGTTGGGACTGGTCCGATGTCAAGGGCTAAAGAGCATTTTCAGTGTTCTTATTTTGAGGTGTCCTGTCACATGTGCTGTAAGAAGGAAGTATATGGACAGAAAGCACAGTGCCTGGAACAAAACAGACATTTCATCAGCATTTGCTTCATAAATACATGAAGACATGGATGGATGAATGAAGGAATGAGGAACAGATGACTTTAGGAAGCAAAGAACAGAATTCTGTCCTGGTGACAACCCGGAGAATGCAGAAGGATATGGTTCTGAGAAGAGCATCAAAGGATCATGTGCCCAAAACAAAAGTCATGTCACCAGGAAACAAAAGAGTGACTTGGAGGGAGGTGGGGTGGGGTGGGTGGGTACATCTGTTAAAACACAAGTTTTAATTTTGCTGCCTTAGTCCTACTATTGTTTTCTCAAGCTTAGTTTGGTGATTTATTGTTAAGTAGCCTAGTTGCCTGTGTTCTCTGATCCTGGATATTTCCATTCGGAAAATGAGGTTACTCCTGTCCCCGCTCCAAGTCAACACAATTCTGGGCAGATCCAAGCATCAGATTTAAATCCAGAGTCCCAGGTGATAGGAAAAGACATTTGTCATTTGATGTCATCTTCTGCTATCAGGTCAGCCACTTGGGGTACCCTAGGCTCCTTGGCATTTTGGCCTGCGAGCTGTCACACCAACAGTGCCCCCGAGGTGATGTCCACTCTCTCAGCTGTGCAGGTGCACACTGGAGGGCTTGACACCTCTAGACATCTCTCTCATCAAAGAAGCCCTTGGCTACAGCCACGGAGGTCTGTCTATGTCCCTTCCTGGCCCTCCGTTTGCTGTGGCTGTGTCTCCTGGGGAAATGTGCTCATTTTTCTTCTGGACCTTGTCAACTCCCTTCAAGATCTAGCACCGGCTTTGAAAACCTCCAACACACAAGATCATCTAGCATTTACTCTTTCTGATGAAACGACTTATCAGATTAAATTTTGTGGCGTTATCACTTTATGCATAAACTTTGTCTTTCAACTGGCTTAAACATGTGTAGGGTAGAAACTGTATTTGGTGTACATCTCTGTCCCCACAGTGCCCAGCTGGGGCTAACTGAGCATCTGTTGACTGGCAGCGATGACAGGGTGAAGTTACGATGGAGCGATCACAGCTCAGGCACACAGAAGCGGAGCTGGGCGGCCACTGAGGAGCTAGCCTCAGACACGTCTCTGCACCACTGAAAACTTGAACTTTCTTTGAACTGTTCCAGACTCAAGGACACCACCAGCCGTATTCAGAACAATGCCTGCCAGCTACACCTTATGGTCTCAAGGTCTCCCCTTGTGATCATGTAACCATTTTGGGTCCCAACCAATCCTTACTCAATAAGTACCCTTACTTCTTGCCAGCTCTAATTATAATTCTTGGTAAACAACTCATGTAACTAACTGTAACCTTGCTGTGTGTGCTTTTATAAACCTCCTCCATTTTGTAGTCTGGCGGAACACAATTCAAGTGCTTCTTAAAACTCTGTCTCCTGGGCTGCAGTCCTAACAAATTCCAAATAAATGGCTTTTTATTTCAATCAGGTCTCTGTTTCTAAACTTTTGGTTAACAACAGATAATAAATACATCATGGAATGCATAGTAAGTGCATGAAGGAAGTAGATGCAGCATTTAAAAAGTGTCAAATTAGAAATTCACAACTTTCAAGTATAGGCAAATATATAGCATTAATTATATGTGGACCAGAATTGTTAAAAAAAATTTAAAGTATAATAAAAGTTAAGAAGTTCCACCATTAAAATTCTAATTGTATAAATAAATTAAAATTTATATTTTCTGCATCATAAATATAATTCACTAGTGGCAAATTAAGTAATCAAGAAGAAGGGCTAAATTGAGAGCTTGAGATTTTAAAATACTATATACCATTTATAAAATAAACAGTAAGGTCCTACTGTATAGCACAGGGAACTATATTCAATATCTTGTAATAACCTATAATGAAAAAAAACATGAAAAGGAATATATGTATGCATTTGTATGACTGAAACATTGTGCTGTACACCAGAAATTGACACATTGTAAACTGACTATACTTAAAAAAGGAGAGAAGAAGAAGAAGAAGAAGAAGAAGAGGAGGAGGAGGAGGAAGAGGAAGAGGAAGAAGAGGAAGAGGAAGAGGAAGAAGAAGAAGGAGAAAAGAAGAAGAAGAAGAAG